TGGCAGGTGGCTGAATTTTACGGAGACTTGCCACGGTCTCCAACCCTCCTCCTTTCTCATCCGGGCATGGGACCGGCCATGGCGGAGTTATGCGATCTCCATGAAAATTTAATTTCTTCCATATTTTCCGATAATTAGCTTATCGTCATTCATTGTTCTTTGTTCGTCGTTCGCGCAGCATTGAAGTTCCTTTAAGCAATCACATCTGCAGCTTTCCTCGGCATTGCGCCTTCGAATTCTTTGTGGAACTGCTCTGATTCTTCACGCTCAGCCCGTTGAACTGGGCTAAATGCTCAGATTATTTTTAGTTTTTTATCTCTTAGCAAAAGCAAGAGCCCTATACTATGAGACATCATGCCATATGTATTTTTATTGTGTGAACTCGGTTTTCGAAGCTCTTCACAATAAGCACGTATTCTCCGTTTTACGATTGCGCAATAAGTGCCGTAGATCCTTGTGTACCGCATATTCCGATTTCGCATGCTTTGATATTCTTCGTTTCGTTGAAGTAGTAATCGACAAATATGTCTGCTAAGGGTTCTTGCATTATGGCTAGTCACGAAGCTCTTAATGATGTTCCTAGTCAGTTCACCAATCACGCCTCATGGCTTGGCGAATCGAAGGTATTTGTCAGGCCGATGCTATTGTCAGCACCTATTTTCCCGGATTGCCGCTTTCTTTACCATTCAGTGACGAGTAATTTTACGGCAATTCATGAATTATTACCGAAATCGACATCTTCTCAACCTTCCTCTGTGTAACAACTTCAGAGAGAAGCACCTTATGCGGCATCATTGGCGAACTGAAACGCGTTCTTAAAACCGCACTTAGGCCTTCACTTCCGTAGAAAAAGTCAAACATTTTGAAAATGAATGTGATTGTTTTTATATTTCGGTACAACCCTGTGTAGGAATGCTATCCTTTTAACGCTACCGCGGAATCCCCATAAAGTAACTAATTTTACAGCTTTCACCTATACATCCGGTATTAGTAGTCATGACATTTTCCGGCGGCGGAATCATTAAGCTCCTATTCTTTGAAACTACAGCAGATCATCGCGGTTATATTTTCATTTTGTTTTTATTTTTATTCATCAATTTTTAACGGAAAATGTTTAACCGTATTTTTACTTGAAAATCAAATTTTATTCTACCGCGCATAACGTAGCTAAAATAACCATACACTATCTCGCTTCACAGTCCCAGTCGACGTCGCTAAAGTAGATCGTGTAAGAAGGGTTCAAAATCCAACGTACTTTGGACGAATATTCTATCCTGAAGCTTCCGCAGACCAGTTTTTTCAGTTCAACGCTGTAATAGACCAACAGAATCATCGATGCAGCACTGTTTACCAGAACCTCATAGATACCATCAAAGCCAACATCCGTTCATCCAGTCCGCCTATGTCCGAAGAGGCAACACACCGTCCCTACAGTGAGACAGTTGTTACCCAGAAGACCCAGAAGGAAGGCTGGTGAGCAACTGGACGACAAGTACACTACGCTGTGCAACAAATACTGAAAAAGATTTAGGATGACTATTATGGGTACAGGAGAACAAAGCTACAAAATGCCACATTAAAGTTGAATATCCTGGAAGATGCGAAAAAGCGTATCCTCGAAAAATAGCGGATTCTGATGCACTAAAGAACAAGAAGGAACAAGAACGACATACTACTGCCATATTTAAGTGATCTGCACAAAATTCCGTAACAACTTGTACTTCTCGAAGGTAGAGGTAAATCGGAAGCTGTCGCAAGTTGTTCCGTAGACCGTTCTCGATGTCACCTGAGAGGAATTAGAGTAGAAAATTAAGAATATCATAAATGGCAGATATCCGGACGGCATAAAACCGGAACGTCTCAAGTCAGGCGGAATGGCCCCGTTTGAAATTCTTACGGAACAACTTACGCTGTACATCGGATTGAAGAAGATGCCAGAAGCATGGAGGAACTTTCCGACGATTTTTCTATTCAAGAATCGTGATGCTGATGATCTACAACTATCGATCATCATTTTTCTGTCACAAATCTACAAGGTCATCGTCTGAATCATCCACATCCGCATCCGAAAAGACCTGGAACTGCTCGTTTGCAAAGAACAAGATTATCTGTAATGCACCATATCCACATTGTGGAGTAGTTAACAAAGAAGTGAAAGGAGTATCAATTTCCAGTATCAATTTCTAGTATTAACTTCCCTCTGCTACGCGTTCGTCGACTTCAGAAAAGCGTTCGGTTGAACCGACCTCACCGCTATACTGAACGCCTTTCACGACTGCGATTTCGAACTTGTTTCCGTCGGCTTGATAGAGAAACCATCTGAACGTGGGGTATTAACATCAGCGGAAAACGGCTAGCCCACCTGCTCTTTCCTGACGATGTCATCATTTTGCCAAAGATCCGGTGAAACCCGAAACAGAGACTTAGCAGTTGCTGAAGAGCCATGCACCGTCGGTTTGGAAGCGAACATTTCCAAGACGAAATGAATGCACAAA